ACTATAAGACCAAGACCAATAAGACTATAAAGCTAAGACCCATAGGACTATAAAACTAACTATTGCGCTAATAGAAATCCAAACAGAAACCAAGGGATTTCTCCAGGGCTAATGTCTCATTAGACATCATGGCATGGGATGAACAGTGCAGCTTAAACAATGATAATTAGGCCTATATTAAGGAGGCTTAAGGGAGGTTATGCATGATATACATGTAACATGCTGTGTTCACAATGATCCACGGAATTTGCTTTCGTTAAAGCGCATTCAATTTGGTCAGTCACATTAGAAGCGATTCGATGCGGTGCAAAACTCGTAACACTGACAGAGCTATAACCCGATATAAACCAACATCCTTTTCCATCCCTTAAACTTCTCACAGAAGGTGACGGTCATTCATTCCAAGATGGATGCCCCCGTGAATCAACATGCCAAACGAAAACAATGGTACAATTCCATTCCGCTTCTACTGTGGACATTGAGTAGCTCTTTCACATGGTTGAAGACCGTTTGGTTTCGATGACAGTATTGTAACTGCCCCTCTACATCTTCATCTCAGCATATATGTTACAAAAAGTCACGAGACCCCGACCATACCACTCCTCGATTAGTTGCGGACATTACAAGCAACATGAACAAAAGTAGCACGGAAGTTGTGTTTATAGCCCGATAAGCTGGTCACACTCACTGTCGGAAAGATAACCGTTGAAGCGGTTTGAAATCGGTTTAAAAAGAAGTTTCGTTAGATCGGTTTAAAGCTGTTTCAGTGTGACGTGTTAATGCGCTCTGAGGCTTTAAAGCGCATTCAATCCGCTTTAAAAATGCTATTATGAACATGACTATCATGTTTCCTTTTTTATAGGCTTGAAGTTAATCATTATTATCATTATCTAATATGCATTTAGGAACCACTCTTTCTACGGTGTGCTCAGGTTTGAGTATCAATATGAACACAAGTTATGTACTTTTCAAAACCCATCTTAACTGACGCCTGTAGATCCTGGAACCGCCAGCGTTAGCCGCCGCTTCCGTCGATTTCTGCAAGATGTACTGGAGACCGCCGACGATTTAAGTAGGCCGATATTCGCCACAAATTCAATCGTAGGATATGTAGACTACTGTTCAAAGTGGGAACAATGCAAGCAAACAACCATTCAAGGTAGGATATGTAGACTACTGTTCAAAGTGGGAACAATGCAAGCAAACAACCATTCAAGGTAGGATATGTAGACTACTGTTTAGAGTGGGAACAATGCAAGCAAACAACCATTCAAGGTAGGATATGTAGACTACTGTTCAAAGTGGGAACAATGCAAGCAAACAACCATTCAAGGTAGGATATGTAGACTACTGTTCAAAGTGGGAACAATGCAAGCAAACAACCATTCAAGGTAGGATATGTGGACTACTGTTTAGAGTGGGAACAATGCAAGCAAACAACCATTCAAGATAGGATATGTAGACTACTGTTCAAAGTGGGAACAATGCAAGCAAACAACCATTCAAGGTAGGATAATTATGTAGACTACTGTTCAATGTGGGACAATGCAAGCAAACAACCATTCAAGATAGGATATGTAGACTACTGTTCAAAGTGGGAACAATGCAAAATATGTCGGAATTAAGTCACCTAAGTATTTTGAGTAAATTATTCTCCAAAATTTACATAATAACGAATTGTTTATTGCTAATAGCTTCAAGGAAGCTGTAACAAAGCAATTTTATTCTTACTTTCTCTACGTAGATAATCGCTATTCATACATTTAACCCTTTAGGCTACAAGGCTTTGTGTCTTTCTCTTGATAATCGATTTTTCTTAAAACTTGTGAAAAGAAAACAGCTCTCTATTATCTTCTATGACATCGTATTTACATAGACCTAGCTTGAAAGTTCCACGATAATCGATGTGCTTTGTTATATCTTAACAGACAGAACGTATTTTTGTGACCAACAAAAGTATGGCCATACGTAGGTTGATCGACAACAATCAACTAAAAGAAACATTTTCTGAAGGAGAAGCAAAGTTGTTGAGTATCAAACACATTAATACATCGGATGCAAACCTAAAAAAAACCAGAGCATTCGAGGCCCAACGCCATTGCTTTCTTACCTTCATTTATGCCATTTGTTATGTTGCTTCATCCACGTGAAAGTAAAAGCATCCTCCTTCCTTTAGACACTCAAGTAATGCAGAAATTAATTGCAGAAAGGGGATAGTATAATTTATTTTTGAAGGTGTGTTATGAGGTTCTTAAACAAATTAAGAGGGTTTCTAAATTTTTAGTATCAGGGACACCGATAGCATCAATTTGCACCATTCCAATTTTCAATCAGACGGCCGTGGTTCCTGCAATTCAACTAAAACTAAGTGTTTGATGACGTCTTTTTACAATCCCTTAATAACTCCGTCATACCTGACTACGCTCATTTGCGATCTGGAAATGTCCTAGGTCTCGGTCTCAAACGTGTTAAAAACAGTTCACCTCATACCGCGAGTTATGCGACCATATTGCTTTCTAACGTTTTGCAGCGTCTTTGCTACACGTGTACTGCGCTTTTATACCGCATGCAAACAAGGATATGTTACAACTTTGTTTAACGATCTTCTCGACGCGTTCCAGAACAGATCGCCTAACAAGTGTACGATGTCTGGCGTTTCCTACACTGAATTAACCAAGAGTTTCAATGGGTCTTCAGAATGGGTTATTTTGAATCTTTGACGAGCTGAGCATTCTCGAGTCTGCCGGAGGCAAAAATCGGTGTCGTAAGCACAGTTGATAAACGAGTGGAAGCCTGGTCTTGCAAGAATCTGGCTTCTTGAGTAAGAAAGTGAGTTCAACTGGAAAACATTCCTAGTCATGAGCTGTAAGAAAGCTTAATTCGGCTGGTTGAACTTCTTCTGTTGAGGGAAATCGTGATGCTGTCTGGTAACCAGATGACGCTGTGTTAAGTTCTGTATGAATCCTTGAACATATACCTGCTATGCAAAAGAGCTCTTCACATACATCAAGTAGCTGACTAAGTGTTCCATTTGAGCAACTCTTGGTTGAAGCATGTACTTATGTTACCTTTGAATTTGATTCGTCAAGATTGACAACAACAGGTTAATGTCATTTCTCAGGATAGGATAAGAAATGATGAATTAATCCGCTGTACAGCCTCTGGATTATCTCTGACCTAACGTGATTCCCTTTGTTGACTACTGACAACTGTTGAATCAAAACGATAGCAACGATCGAGATAATCTGCAACCATCTTGGTACGGTGTATTGGCGTTTCGAAGATGCGGTTTTAAACTTCGAGGCAATCAACCATAAATGATCACCTTGACGGGGATCTATAACAAATGCAGCTGCGACATTTGGACTTGCATCACAGAGCTGTGAGGATGTATGGGTTTATCCTCATCAACGTCGAATCGTTAAATTCTCAATGCTGATGCTGCTTCGAAGTTCGACGAAAAATGATACTCGAGATGGAGATGAATACGAAGAGGTGGATCCCACATATAATTGATTTCAAAATTTTGTCTTTAACCTATCAAACCATTCATAAATCATCTCAAGCATACCTACAGGATCTACTGTCAAATTATACACCAACTCGTTCCCTACGCTCTTCAACTTAACATCTTCTAAATATACCAGTGTTTAATCTTCGAACTGTTGGAGCAAGGTCCTTCAGCTTTACAGCAGCTTCTTTATGGAACAGATTACCAGAGACAATTAAACTATCTCCATCTCTTGCCACTTTCAAATCTCGAGTAAAGACATGGTTGTTTAATCCCTACAAATAGACAATCTTTCAAAGAGCACACAGGCGCTTCGAGCATTCTTCTACAGAATGGAAAGTCGCTCTATAAATAGACTTATCATTATTATTAATTCTGCTTCCAGAGTTCCGGGATGAATTTCTTCGCTGAAATTTTGCTTTCGAAATTTTTTATCGAATGCTCAAATCCAAATATGATTGTAATTGAAGAAGTAGAAGAGAAAAAACTAAACATAACATTAAGATAGTCACAGGTTGACCTATCGACTGACGGAATTTGAGATGAAGATGAATTTCAAACTGCAAGGAACTAGTGGCACCTGTGAGAATTTGTTTTAAAAGAGGTTTCCTAAACTTTTTATGTGTACTTGTATAAGGTTTTATAAGCACTGGCCTAGGTAACAATTAGGGACTGTAGATTTCAGCTTTGAAATACATCATTTTGATAGAAAATTACCTACTTGTGGAGAGATTTACAAGATAAACAAATAGTTCAGAAATGCAAAGCGATTGTTTCAGGGAGTTAATGGAATGGTATCTAATCTACAATGGACAAGAACATTACTCAGATTTTTATTCCTTTTGTAAGCAGTCACCAAATGTTTAGTATAGATGTTAGAGAATTCGTCCTGAACTTCTTTATAAAAGTTTGACAATCACAGAGGCATTTTTAGCTGAAGAATTGTAGGTGGCAACGAAAGGTTTAATTTGATTGTCATGCTGTTAAATTCAGGCCTTTAGGTACAACTGTTTGTAATTGGTCTCCCGCTGCCATCGCTTGGTTTTTGGTTTGGTCATTGCAGATACAGAAACCTTGTTTATGGGCATAACTTGTGTTAGCTATAGCATTGATTTTTACCAAAACAATTTAGTTTACAATTAGCTTTAGTTGAATTGCAAAAAAACAGATACTGTCCCCAATACACATAAAAAATTAGAAAACCACTTCACAATCCATTTAAATTGATCCACATATCGGGGACGTTATTCAAAGATTTACTTGAAATTAACTCTGAAAAAGAAATATTTATTTAAAACATGCATGTTCAAGAATCGATAAAAATGAACAGGTAACTTATGGTTTTATCACGTATGCCAAACTCGTTTCACAACATTTTCTTCGTGATTTGTGCTCTTGTTTCGTAACTATAGATACAAGTCAAAACACTAATGACAACAGATATAAATTCAAATCTTACAGCACTAGTTGCTGGGTTGAACATTTCAGCATGTGGAAGTTGTCTTTAATCTTTGGTAAGCTTTTGGATTTTTTTTTTATCTGTTTTGAAATTGAGACTACCCTCATGACTGATTTTTTTAAAAACTGTAGTGTTAAAATTTCAAAAACTGAGATATAAATTGAATTTCATTAAAACGCAATTCAAAATATCCGTTGAAAAAGATGAAAAGGGCAAAAATGATCTACAGAATAAATATCTTATACCGAAAGGATATCTATGAGCACCATGAAACCAATTTTTGATTTGATAACTGTATTTGACAATGTTCTCAAAATGTTTCAACACGAACAGATGAAAATAATGCCAACTGGAGCTAAATTATACACGAATTTCCAAACTACAGATTATATTTATCTCTTTTTCCTCAAAGAGATTAATATATCGGGCAATATTTCTTGCAATTATAGTGGGATTTTCTGCCCTGGAGTTATTGGTCGAACGTTGGCCAAATCAAAGTAATTCTGAAGTACAAAAATAATGTCATATGATTGCAAAAGGTTATTCTCTATGAAATTTGTTTATTTTTTTTACAGTTGCTGTTACCTGTGTCAGCATACAACTGGCGTGTAAGTATCGTTCAAAATCATTATATATATATCTCTAGTGATAAGGCACATTTATTTTGTTAAATACAATCCAACATGGATTAACAACGATTTTAAATTATGTTATTTATATGAAATGCTAAATAATGGCAAATGGTTATGCTTTCGTTATCGCAAAATATTTTCTGTGGCTTGAATATTTGTTTGACTCAGAAACACGATTGTTTTATGCTAAGCTAATCAGTAATAGTGTTCGAAATTGAGCCTTCGAATCTATGTGTGTCCAGAATTATTGAACATGACGACTCGTCTTTTCTTGATACCTTGCCATATATGGAACGGATAATTTCGCAGATTTCTAGTATTTCTGGAGACTATTTACACATATTCAAGACCAAAATCAACCCCCGAAAATGGCGAATCTCCCCCTTTGAAGGATCACACAGAGTAATGGATAAGCGGATAAAACCATGACCTGTGTCTATCGATTTCTGTCAATTGTTTAATATGTCAGAGAAAATAACATGTTATTATGAAATTATCTTACTGACTGACTAATTAAGCACCATGGTAATGATATGTAGCCAGAGTGACTTGCACAATAAACTTCACTTTTATTCAATAAGTCGTCTAAGAAATTGATTAGAGCACAGAATTTTAATGATGCATTATATATTGATTAATAATTGTTAAATTCTCATATATTATTTGATTGATGGATACTAAAGTTAGGTTTACACGGGCTTCTTTTCCATTTGCGACTTCTTGCCACCTACCTGTGATGTTCACACATTGCAAACATATTTAACCAAGTTCAACCTATTATTGAATGAAGTGAATAAAATTGTAAAATAGTTTGGTGGAAAAGATAACCAATTTTCAAGGGAGTCACTAAAACAAAAGACTCCAATGAATGAAAAGCTGATGCTCTCCCCTTATCTTGCTGGATGAGCGGAGACAGCAAGAAAAAAAAGAAAAAGGTGATCAAGTACAAAATTACTTGAGATCAAGTACAAAATTACTTGAGATCAAGTACAAAATTACTTGAGATCAAGTACAAAATTACTTGAGAACAAGTAAAATTCACATGATTTAAATCACTCTTCTTGTTGGTTAAAGAAAGAAATTGAGGCAACCTCAACAAAATTAAGGTTCTGGCGCTAAAAGCTATTTGGTTGCTGGTTGAAAATTGAACCAGGTTGCGGACTATATAAAGACATGCAACCGCTTTCAACATTTAGGTTACCGGTGTATGAAATTGTTACAGAAGGTTGAAGAAGAAGGTTATCTGTGTAAACCCACCTTAAAGTGATTGTAATGTTATTGATTTTGACCCCTGTTATTATTACTGATGTTGGTTCGATATAGGATGAGTTTGACACTCGCCATATTACAATTAAAGGAACAGTACGCCAATTTTGTTTTACCAATCGTACCTTATCAGAAACGAGAATTTTTTAGCTTAGGCAATCAATAATAGTGTTCACAGCTCACCGTCGAAATCTTAGCCTTTAAAGCCATGTTAGTCAATAATGATCCGCGTTTAAAAGTTAAAAAGTCGTCTTTTTCTTGAGACACTGCCATATATAGAAAAGACATCTAATAGGAAGAGATATTTTTGAAGGAATTATGCGATTTTCGTACATTTCTAGTACTTCTGAAGACTATTTACACATAATTATTCAAGACTCAAATCAAACTCCAAAAACAGTACATCTGTCCCTTAAACAGACTAGGAATTCTTACGCTTGACCCAGCCTCAAAAGAATCATGAAAGGATATTGGTTAGTGGAGATGTATAAAAGGTCCGAACTTCCCTTTGCTGCTTGTTTATGCCTTGGACCGTTCGGTAGAATTGATATGGGGCAATGTATTTTAGCTCATTTAAAAAGGTATAGACATTTTAGATACCAGGAAATTTTAGAAAACGTAGTTTATTTTTGGTTCCTAAGGTTTCCATGTCTATGATAAAATGGCATTCTAATGTTTCTTTTTCTTTTTCCAAATTTAGATGCGAAAATAACAGAAAAACAAGGTACGTATAGTTAATATTTAGAGAATTCTTCAAGCTCGTAGATGGTCGTCGCCCTTGTTCGTTCGTTTTTCTGTCGATTTGCGGAAAAACATTAGTCGGATTATCTTATGTCCCCTTTCATACATTACACGGTGTCTTCCCATATCGACCCTTCCAAGTTCGCCTCTTACCCTTTTTTCGCTCCTTTTAAGTCAGTAGCCATGTCATAATTGATGAATCTATGCTGAATTAAAAATGACTAAATCTTTAAGTAATTACGGCACAGTTGATAAGAGGCACGCTTAACTATATTATAAGAGTCCCATTGTTCAACCTTATACCGCATCTTTTCATCTGTCGGGTACATGAAAAGTAATAGCATATGTGGATCAGTTAACTGAACACAGGAGATGGTTTAAGATCTTTTATACACAGACTTCCTTAATTAGAAAACCATCTGGGTATAAGTATACCTAAAGAACAGGGGTAATGGGTGAGATTGTAGAGAGTCAAAAATTATTTGGCTTTGGAAAGAATAGAGTTAAGCTGTGAGTAAGGTCTTGGGTAGGTTCTTGAGTCATTATAGACTCCACAGTGTTTGATGAAAATAAAGAAGAAGTGTTGTATATTTTAATCTGACTTCAATCATTGTGTCTTGGGAAAGAAAATAACAATAGACCGAATTGACCCAGGTACCAGTCCGCCCATAGGCACGGGTGCCTAATCTAACCGACGTATACCAAGAGATATAGAACCAGTCTACATCGTAATACCAGCTAGATTACCAGTCATGCGATGTCAGCCCTCAGACCACTGACATGGGAGAGCCGGGAACTTTTCTCAGCACGATACAAGCCTAGAATTCGAACGGTGGGAAGGGACGTAATGGGAATAGTTTAGAGAGAAATTGGGAAGGGGAGATGTGGGAGAACGAAATGGGAATAAACCATGTTTCCGCATCCTCAAACTTCTAGAAGAATTCATGAGAAGGTCTTCCAAAACGTACGATACGTCCTCTGTTCCATCCATCAATTTGAATTCACTTTATACGCCCACATGAAAATTCGCCATTTTTTGGATCAATCGTACGTAAGCCTCAGTAACGGAAATTTGTTCAGTCAAATCAGTAAGAGCGTTTACAGCTCACATTTGACATTTGAGCCTTTAAACTCATGTGTGTCCAGAATTAACCACGCAAGACAATAATTAAGATGTGGGATAGCGTAATCCAAATTGAAGCGATAGACAGCCTATTTGAGGTTTGCTATACCACGTGAGTCAAATAAAATTGGTAAGTGAACATGCTCTGAAATTTCTTAAGATGTTGGTGTAAAAATGCTGTAATAATACACCTGTTAATGAATATGTTTACAGTAAAACATCGGTTATCATTGATTATTCTCTTCGTTCTCAGAGAAAGATTCTATTTCAATTTCCCTTTTTTCAATGTTCTTAATAATTTGCAGATGATTCAACATCACCTACAATGCCACCACGGCCAGTTGACAATAGTCCACCACCATCTACCACTGGCATAGTGCCAAACAAAGAAGGTACGTCAAAGTGATATTAAACGGAAATATGTAGCAAACCCGTGTGTGAAGGATTATAAAAAATGTGCAAAATTGTATTGGGATCTGTTGGACTTATATAGACCGCGTATATTTCTTTATTATGTTCTGTGCATTATGATTTATTACGTAAATTTATGAAAAAAAATGGAGTTTTTAATCCGTTTTCTTATGTGTTTATTAGCAGCATATCTAATAGCTTTCGACTATGAAAGTTTGATACATACAATGAATGCTTCCAATAATCAACATATCCATAAGAGTATTATACGCCACCATTTCCATGCAGACGTACATGTATTTTGTCACATCTTCCAAGAGCTTTTAGTCGTTATATAGAGAGTATATATATGGAATTTCTTAAAGGGATTGTGGTTTCTAAATTTTGTATGTGTATCGATACACTGATAACATCAATATTTGCACCATTCAAAATTTCAATGGTAAATCATAATTTGTGATTGGTGACGTCATCAACACTTAGTTTTAGTTGATAAAATTTTGATAATATGTTGGCGAAATAAAAGACAAGCTAGTAAAATTATTACAGAAAAAGTAGCCTACATAAATTTAATTTTTAAAGCTGGCACAATTACATTATTATTATTTAAAAAATATTTTCTATTTATTTGTAGATAGCACAGCTGCATCTATGGGCTCGACAACAGGCGCCCAAGGTAAGTCTAAAATCGTATCCAGCGTATTAAAATTGTTAAAATATATATTAAAGCATAAGTTTTTGAAAAAAAATCAAAATTAAAATCAAGCTTTTACAAAATACTTAAAAGAAATAACAGTATTACACCATTTTCATTGTTTAAACAGGTACTTAGTGAATTAGTATATTTAAAAAAAAAAATTTTCTAAATTAGTTGTAGGTGGCAATGGTGCAACCACGGGTTCGGTACCAAGCAACCCAGGTAAGTCAATAATTTCATTAGTCATCAGTTCAAGCGTTTCAAAATGTTAACATTCTTTTTAAATAGAAAAATTTAAATCAAGCTTTTACAAAATACTTAGAAGAAATAACAGTATTACACCATTTTCATTGTTTAAACAGGTACTTAGTGAATTAGTATATTTTTTTTTCTAAATTAGTTGTAGGTGGCAATGGTGCAACCACGGGTTCGGCACAAAGCAACCCAGGTAAGTCAATAATTTCATTAGTCATCAGTTCAAGCGTTTCAAAATGTTAACATTCTTTTTAAATAGAAAAATTTAAATCAAGCTTTTTACAAATTATTCCATCATTAAGATTGTTAAAGCTGGCACTAGCAAATTAGTACATCTTTACTGAAAGATGATATACATTCCAGTCATACACTTCTTTTGAACTTTTGGTGATGTTACTGAACAATATTTGAAAATTCGGCAAGAATCGTGCCTTTTGGTAAAGATAGGACAATGGAGGAACTTTCTAATCGCCAACCATTTTAAAAGTGAAATAGATCGCTGAGATTGAAAAAGAACTTTTCTCTTGTCTGTGACGTCATTTTTGCTTAGTGCGACGCCATTTTTCAAAATGGCCGCCGAAATGACTAAAAATATCATTTATTTAGTTTATTTTAGCATATGGTAATATAAATGTACCTTTCTGATTTCAAGAACGAAGACCATAACACAAAAAATGTATCATGTTCTATCAATAAATTAATCGATTTCTAAGTTAGATTTCAGGGAATACTTATTTCAGGACTGGAGCCATGACTATATACAGTATATTATATAACATGCAGTGTTTGTGTATGTTTGTGTGTGTGTCTTTTCAACTAAAATCATACTAATGACTAACTAATTTTCACATAATCAATAGACTTATCTATTGCTCTGTGACCTAGGCCAGTGCTTTCATTGAGACTCGTCTCAATACACCCTAACACAAAATATTTTTCGATTTTTTATAATCGAGAAGGTTCAACCCTTGGCTGTTATAAACACCCAAAGTTTCGTCTCAAACCCAATTAGAATTGTGCCTTCTGGAGTGTTTACAAGCTTAATATTGAACGCGTTTTCATAAACAAGGGCAATAACTCGTATTAACTATTTTTCGATTTTTCTGATTTTCAAAAGGGTTCATCATTGGTTGATTACAAACAGTCACACTAAATTTCGTCTAAATCCGCCAAGAATGTACCTTGTAGAGTGTTTACGAGCAATTGTGGTTGGACAGACGGTCGGACTGACCGATGGTCCAACGGTCACGGATAACGCCAATACACGTCCCCTTCCCATTTCAAGTTGGCACATAGAAATTCAATTTCTAAATTTGTTGTAGGTGGCAACGGTGCAAGTACGGCAAGCAATGCAGGTAAGTCCGACATTAGTTCAGGCGTATCAAAAGGTTTAACACAATCATGTTTAAGAATAAGTTTTTGAATTTTTTTTTATTAGAATACGGCTTTTTACAAATGCATAAAAGAAATAGCAATAGCGCTGCATCATTTTCATTTTTAAAGTTGGCATTAGCGAATTAGTACATTTTTACCTAATTTTTGTTATTTGTAGGTGGCAATGGTGAATCTACTGGCTCGACAGCAAGCAACGCAGGTAAGTGTGACATTAGTTCAAGCGTATCCATAGTGTTAACATTTGTTTACACATACTAAAGCATCAATTTATAAACAAGACATGCTTGAAAAAAATAATAGTATTGCAACAATTTGATTGTTAAAGCTAGCACTCAGTGAATTAGTATTTTTTTAGTTGAAATTTAATGTTATAAGTTATTTGTAGGTGGCGATGGGGCACCTACCGGACAGACACCAAGCAGCGCAGGTAAGTCCGACATTAGTACAAGCTCAAGCGTATCAAAAGTTTTTGCATCCATTCACCCATTTGAATAATTCATATTGGAAGTTATTGAAGTTAGTACAATATGGCCTTTTAAACGGACAGATGCGCCATGCAGTCTCAGAAAAGGCAATTTGTAGCTAAGCCGATCAGTAATGGTGTTCACAGCTCACCGTCGAGATTTGAGCCTCCAAATCCACATGTGTTCAGAATTATCTGCGTTTGAAAGTTCAAAAAATGAGTCGTCTTTTGAGACACTGCAATTTGAGATTTTGAGATATTTTTAAAGGAATTGTGCGATTTTCGAACATTTCTCGTACTTCTGAAAACTATTTACATATATCCAAGACTCAAATCAACCCCTAAAATGGCGCAACTGTCCCTTTAATAAGCTTTAAAAGATACTTGCCAGGTTGGCTTAAAAACTTCTTCTGACGAAATCAATTCTTCAAGCATGCATGTTTTTATGAAATGAAACTAGTTCGTTGCCCTTCTTTCTTATTTTAGAATCTGTTCCTCACCGTCGAATAAAAAAAATTCAGGTTGAGCTTATGCATTCATGCCTTAACCAACATTTGCCCAAGTAGTAATTTCCTGAAACGCCAGGTTACTATGCCACAGGGGCGTATCTAGGATTCCTGAAGGGAGAATGAGATGGGTTCCCTTCGATCTTTCACAGGCCCGAGGATTGGGGAGGGATGGGGTGGCCTAATACACAACCCCCTAAATACACCACTGCTATTCCGTATGCGTTAGGCATACTATAATTCATTTATTTAATTTTTTCAAGATTCAAGTTCACTGACGGAGGAAAAAGCGGGTATGTATCGAATGTTGTTCTAATCTTGATTCATATATTGTTTCTTTGAATTCCATGTACATTGATATGAAAAAAAACCATAACAGTGACTTACCCACGCGGGCAATCATATAGGCATAATCAAGCATTACATATAAAATATAAAAGACAGTAAGCAAAATTGTCGTTATCAAAACCTGAAAATATTTCTAAAATACGCTATGTGTCTACTTGATGAGAACATTTTTCGAATTATTGCCCTTAACTTTGTAAAAATGGGTCAAAATCGGTTGAATTAAGTGAAATTCGAATTCGATGATTTTTCGATGAAGGGCTTTTGGGTTATAACTATTGATTTAAAATTAACATGCAACATAAATATGCAATATATATAATAAATAACTACAATGTATTACGAAGATCTTTATAATTATAAAATTCGTATGTAAGTCGCTGAAGATTGTTCTTATTTCTGACAGATGCCAGTGGGCGTATGTTATCTTGCCTGGCAAGCTATCTTTGTACATAGTTGAGCAAATTTGAGCACAAAATTTTTTCGACTTACGATAAAAACGAAATGCCCCTTTAACCTTATTGTTAGCTCAATCCATCAATACATTAAGCATTAAAAAATACATCGGCATTAGCCTCTGGTTACTTTTCACAATGAGCAATGACTTAATAAAAAGCGGCCCTAATAAAAAACGAAAAGAAACGGCGCTTTTGAGTTGAATACGTAAGGGTGCAATAGTTTTAGATTATTTTTCTAGACACAGGTTGTAATGAGCTTGATACATGTGTGAAAAGTCTACAGGATGTACTGAATGGAAAATTTACATATAATAACGCAATCTGTTTGTGAGTATTGTTATAAACTTCTAGATTCTAGACTTCTGTATAGTTACAGCATTGACAAGAAAACGATTATTAAACTTTATTGCATACCTTAAACCTTCAACTTTTCTTGTCAATTAATTGATAAATGATATATTGATTAAAGTTTTACCAGCATTTCCAAAACGTTCCAAAATGTGTTCAACGTTTAGCTCGTAAAAACTCAGATATTTTTATTCAAAATCACAGCTGCCAGTGGGCGTATATTGTGTATTGCTTGTCTGGCATGCTATCTTTCTATTTGCAGAGCCATTCGCGAAGCATTGTCATGCTTTAAAACTGCTATTGATGGATGTGATGATTACAAAGACCCCTTTGCTGGCAAAACGGAGTCTTTTCTTACTTTGAGAGATCATTTACAGAACTACTGTTCCGATGCCGGTAATTGACGAGAAGTTTTTTTGATTATCTTTTTAAAAATTTGTCTTTATTACACACATTTGAGCTCCAAAATCAATTTCCTTTCCTTAGTGTGTTATTAGTTTCATCTGATGTACATGTAGATAGAATTAACGACTGCCGAAGTAAAGTAGGAATTATTAAGGGATTGTTAAGAGGTTTTCTAAAAAATGTATCTGGGACAATGATAGAAACAATTTGCATCATTCCAATTTTCAGATGTCTGAGGTTCCTGCAATTCCATAAAAATATAGTGGTTGATGATATTATCTTTATCGACTTAAGCCCCAAAATGGCTTCCGTAAAAGTTACGCTTATCACGGTAATGAATAACATAATATTATTTACCGGAATTATGTCATATTGTCACGTGATCACGTGATTCTGGTAATTTAAATATCAGAGGCTGGGCGTTCAGGAATACAGTCGTTTGTAAACAAAGTCAATAGAACAAAATATTCGTAAGATACGTATTCAAATTGATAATACAATGTATCATTGGATAACCGTTAGTCCAAATATAGCATTAGATACATCTATTAGTGTCAGAATTATCTCCCAGTCTCTAAAAGTAAGGACTATATTTATGTCACAATATTTCTATCAATTGACAAATCACTGTTAAATACCGGAAGGAATCAATCTCGCTCAAGAGAACACCACAGAATTCATTATTCAGCTTTACGGAAACTGCCGAGGATTGCAGAATGATACGGAGGTCCTTCGCAACACTTGGTTTTAGTTGAATGGCAAGAACCACAGACGTCTGAGTAAGAAATTGGAATGGTGCAAATTTTTGCTATCGGTGTCTGCCATACACATGTTTTTAGAAACCCCTTTGTCTGTTATTAAAGTAACATTTGGTCTAAGTTTAACTTTCAAGGACAACGATATCGTGATGGCATTTCGTTCAATTGCAGACCTAATGTTTACAGCATATCGGATTAAGGTTATAGCCTTTGTTTGGCGGTCATTGAACTGTCCGATAATGTGATTTATCATCAGGGATAATTCCATTCGGGTGCCGTTTGTTTTCAAATGAGAAAATTAATCGGCGTTCTCAAATGAACATAAATATGAGTGGAGTAGCCAGTAGATCCAGTAGATTTCACCAAACATTTTCAGGCATGGAAAGTATAATGTAGAATCTAAAGTAAAGCTGATGTTTTTTAAAAGTATTTTTGATATACCCGGGGACTGAGACGCTTTAATATGAATTGAATTATTTCGTTAAATAAAAACTTGAAATGTAACCTTTTATTTGTCTCTAGGTGCTGCTGCCAGCTCATGCGCAGATTTTACAACATGTTTTACAGAAGTTAATCTACCCCAAGCTGCTAACGATCTAGTAGATCCGATGTATTGGTGTGCGTAAGTAGACTTATGTTAGAACCAGTTGATATTATGTCCTAATTAAATTGCGTCAATATCTAGAATTGAACTTGTTCTAGAATTATTTGGAACAAACAAATTCACTGCAACACCAATCTAGACGTGTGTATCACGTGACTGACCCCATAAACCACTATCATTTTTAATGATAAATAATCGAAAAAAAAATTCATATTGTACAATTCAAATTCTTGACCATCCTGTCTACCAGTTGGTTGTTTAGTACCAAGGCAATAGTTTCTCTGTACAATTTACATTGTTGTTATATGTATTTCTTATGTCATATTTTGTTGGATTTCTAAAATGTACAATACTACGGATTTTTTTTATTTACAAAGAGTTGGACAAGCTGCCGCCTCATGTAGCGCAAAGCTAACCTCTGAATCAGACGAATGTAAAACAGTTAAAAAATACGGAGAAATCAAAACAGAATTAGATAAAACTTGTCCATCACGTAAGTTGAATTTTATACACCAATATTCGTATAATGTAATATAATGTAATGAAAATTAGGTTTCAAATACGTCCTAATTTTTTGCCTCAGATATACTGAACACAAACAATGATCTGTAATGGAAGAAATAGATAACAACTTTTTAATTTCATCCATGTTATTTAAAATTTGGAGACCAACATTTGTACACGTAATTGAGTCGAATTCCGGAGCTTTAATTAAGTGAGTTTTGTAAACTCGCACGATTAACATTAAATTATATATTTTTTCAGCTGTTGACGTTTTGAACGGAGTATTCGGAGCAAAAGACAGTGGAGTAGATGCAGGTTAGTCCATAAGATTTTTTTTCATGAAAGCCATAATCATGATCGAAACGCTCCCGACGCGATTGAGCATTGCGGAACCGCTGAACGATTACCGCATGTAGAAGTTTTAATGAACATGAATTGGAGGTCACGTACATGCGGTGATGCAACAAGGCGCCACAGCGATTGCCGCTCCCGAAAATTTGAATTAGAATCTTTCGCCATTTAATATCAGTTCCATGACCAACGATGATATTCGTCAAGTTGTCTCAATTTTCCTTTAATAGGATGAACACAATGGCGATGTTTCTTGCTCATACGGCACCGATTAAGAAGGGAGTAACGTTGTAATGTTTAAAAAAAAAAACAGTGATATTACTGTTATCTGTCGCAGGCATGCAAGATAATGCTAGGTGTTCCTGAAAATTGATAAACAGATCCATAACTTCATATTTTTCATTGTGTTTCTGTAGGGAGATATAACATCATGGTAATTATGGTAGCCAGTTTGGTGACTATCAAGATGGTATATTAGAAACACCTTTCGTTATTTCTTATGTAATTTTCAACAGATTTAATTTAGAGTAAAATAAATTAGATAGACCTTCTAGAAAGAGTTACTTAACTCAATATAAAACTGTTGCTTATGTAAAAAAAAATCTTGACATTTTAACCAGCAAATTTCAAAAGTTTACACCAATCTGGATTAATTTTTTCGTAATATTATCGCTGTAACATTAAGCATAGATGACGTAACATCATTCTTTAAATCGCATGTGTTTAATACATGTATTTCTAACAGAGACCAATGTATGATATTGTCTAGAACATTTGAAATCTTTCAAAATTTTCTGGGCAATTGATGAATTCTTGGATTCTGTTCAGGTTTTTAAAAGCTATAGAAATTGAAATATGATTAGTTTTATTTATTGTTTTTCATTATTGTTTGTATAATGCACAGTGTTTTGGGGTAAAGCTTTACTGATCGATTTAAAATATAGGCCCATAACTTGAAGTTAGGTTACTTCTAAGTAAATTCACCATTAAAATGTAGACGAAGCAAATATTAAGACAACTCCTAAAATTTATTAATTTATGTTGGTTTTACTCCTGATAATTAATATGCATATTTACAGATGACATAATAATATTTCCTAAAACAATATTATTGACAATTAAGAATGCGAGGCAATCGTTAGTGGTAACATTGGGATTTCAACCATATCAACCACTTAACTTATCCGTCCAAGAACTTTCATAGTTTGCTTATCATTGAAACAAACCGTTAAAGGAACAAAATTCAATGATATTGCCTAATTTTGAGCATATGTTAGTTAAAACCCAACGACTTTATGCATGAGGTACAAAGCTAAGTCCTGTTGAAATTCAGTAACCAGTTACGTTTTTAGCTGTTCCTCAAATTAATACTGTTCGTTCTTTATTGTGATATGTTAAAGGTTAAGAGCTTGAAGTTTGACGGATGTGAATAAATTAAGACTATGTATGACCCCATTATTCGTAAATTTATGATAATGGGTGAAAATCTAATTATTTTCCACAGAATCATACAATAAAAGTATGCGAATGCAATGTTTCAGTTATGATTTTTTGGAAGATATTATTTACGGTCAAATTTATTCCTACATCGCGTAATGACTGGAGTTTAGAAGTTGTCAATTTTTTAATCATCATGTTTTTTGTACACCATTTCTCGTTATTAAAAATGCATAAACAGTTTCGAGTTATTTTTTTTACCACATTTTCAAATGCTTACCTTAATTATGTCCTTCTCAATGAACTTTTTCAAGATGACCGCCATTTTGACTTTGGAAGGTTAAAGATTGCGTTTGGAGAAAATAAGAATTAACTGATTTGTACTAAGATCGAGAATTGAAAAATGAAGTCGATGCATAGATGTACCTTCAGCACATGTACTTTAGAGAAGCTGAGAGCTGGGAAAATAAATTCCAAAGGAATGGTTTTTGTTTTATGTTAATGTAAATGCCTTGTAGACTTCCAAGAAAAAATCCCAAAGAATCCTGCACGGGGAGATTTTTTTTTATGGCAGATTGGAATCAATCATATCATATCTATTTATCACTTTTGCAGGGAGATATATTTAACTGGTATTTGATAGGAAAGAACACATGGTGATCAATATCTTTATGTGAAAATAATACACAGTAAACTTGTGTTTTATCACATAAAATGACGAATAAAGACAGCAAAATACATGGTGTTTGGAGAAGAAATGAATGTCAAAGGAATTGTTATCACAAATAATGTTGCTTGGCGACTTCATTTCATTAATACATCACTTTGTCGTAAATGAGATTTCCACACAAGCATTTCATAGCTATTTAAATATTCTAACAAAACATACTTACTTAGAACAACATTTTCTAAAAGGGCGAAAAGCAAACAACACTCATCTGCACAGAATTGAAATTTCATCAATAAATGATAACACAAATTTCATCATAATGTAATCAAAGTTGCGCTCGATTAGAGAGTTCTGAACAGGTTCTGTTCCAATTCTACCTACAATCGAACGGTCTAAAAGCGGATATGTCACATTCAAAAAAATGCCATCTATTTCTCTCTCCGCCACTTTAAATTTCGTCGGCACATGCAGGACCATTATAAGGCCAAACACCAAAACTGGGTCAAACTGCTTATTTAGCAATTAGTACTCACCGTTATTAATTAACCCTTTCAAACAAATTCAGTTTGATCAAGTAGATACATAGATATAAATAGCATACTTTTGAAATAATTTCAGGTATAATTTACAATGTTTTTGATAATAAAAACTTTTTTTTACAAAAAAGCGGAATATCCCTTTAACATCATTCAGGTATAACAAGTCCACTAGATTCAGATATGCACAACAAGCATCAAAACATAACGCAATCACAAATATCCATGATTAAATTAAACAAAATTGTCAGTATTTCACACAAACTCTCAACATTGGGTTGTACAATGACCAAATAATTTTCAATGAAACTTCTCGTCTTACTAAAGGAGGCACACGAACAGTCATGGTCGCCGATTTTTGTCGCCGACTCGAATCTTGGGTAAAATCTTACGTGTGCCGGAATTTCCACAAATTTAATGGGTTATCAATAGGATTTATAATATGAAACTAGTTTGATTTTGCCCCTCAGATTCATTTTCCTTTCAATTGCATCATTGAGGCTGCTATTCCAATTCACATAAAAATAATGGATAGAATTAAATAAACTTTTTATTTTGCTCAGATAATTGACCTATTGCAGAAGGCACCATAAGAGAACTAGAAAAGTACAAAAATCGTTTAATTCCTTTAAAAATATCTCAAACTAGATTTTTTTTTCCTATTTCTCTAGATGTATTTTTCTATATATAGTAGTGTCTCAAGAAAAGACGACTCGTCTTTTTAACTTTCAAATGCGGACAATTCTGGACACACATGGCTTTGACGGCTCCAATTTCAACGGTGAGCTGTGAACACTATTACTGATTAGCATAAGCTAAAAAAAAAATAATACCGTTTCTGAGACTAAAGTATGATTGATAAAAAAATGGCACCTCCAACGATATCTGTCAAGGTTTCCTATTTATTGAAACGGTTGTCTGATGTCAGGCGAAATTGGGAGCGTACTTAACAGTGATGACGACAGTAGTACAGTAAATAAAGTCAATTGCTGATAACGAAAATATTAAAAGCATTTTGAAGTAAGAAAGACTGCAATGGTCATAAATATAAGTTGATGAGATATGTATATTGTTGCTGCAGAACTACCTTCATACACAACCACTGATACATCTACAGCTGAAATAATAGAATATCAATTAAAATAAACATATAGACAATTTATTTGCACCTTACATAGTCATAGCACTAATGCTTTTTATTAAGATAAGGTTTAAACAGTTTGATTGACCAATTCGCAGATATAAATAACAGCAAGTAAATGATATATATTATTCTATGCCTAATATCACCATCATGACCAGGTAATGTTTTGTCAAGTTATTGGACCATAATTATCTATTCCTGCGAATAGAAAGCGGAAATCGAATCAGTTTCGGTTACAGTTCAGCTGAGAACGTGACCAAATTATATACTTGAGATTCTTGCGAGGCACGAGATTGTGAGCTAAAATTAGAAATGCTACACTAAGCATGTCATAAAAAATGCTTCAAGTAATGATTCAATGCTCGAGTGACACTACTTGTTGACAATGGGTCTTCGTTTTTTGCTCACAAGAATACGTTTCATGTAAAATTACAATCTTTGATTTAAAGAGTTAATTCCCATATAAACATCGGTAGCGGAGGAACTGATCGAAAAAGATCTTGCAATTAGATTTTCAGTCCCTCTCAATAGGCCGATCTAATATAACACATTCGTTCTACATAATATAAGTGTTATTCCCACAGAAAACAGTATCTTCCATTAACAAATGCGTCGACTAGAATAGGCCGATCTAATATAACACATTTGTTCTACATAATATGTGTCATTCCCATGGAAATCAGTATCTACCATTAACAGATGTGTCGACTAGAATTATGAGGTGGGATGCTCTGTTTCAAACCAATTTAACACACGATCCATGAGCCGTGGCAGAATTTCTCAAAGCCGATAAATTTATCTACGAATTGTGTTGAAAATCAAACCTTTTTTATATTTGTCACAAATGAATTAATGCCTATGTGTGTGCGTAACGAAAGCCCTCTGTTGAGATGCAAATGCGCCAGACTAAAACGTTTTTCAATGGCCTCGGGGGAAATAACATAACAATATTGATAAATATCACAAATATTTTCTTTCATTTCATTCTTTCATCCATCTACTTCTCAAATTTAATTTAAATCGACAAATAAAGGAATTTTTGCATTTTTACTAGACAAAATGAAGGGTTATCAAGAATTTCTATATCAACATTTTTTTATTCAATTTTTTACTTTATTTTTTCCCCTTTGTAACAACTAATGAAAATTGGCTGAAAAGAACACTGAAGGAGTTGAAGCCCTTATACAAGTTCACAGGGGTTGATATCATAGGTCTTAGTTCATATTCCCCAACTTAATCTCATTTTAGTTTTAAGTATACTGACACCAAATTGTACAAAAATTGTTTTAAAACTGTCAACGGGGGACAGGGAAAATGTGAACGGAAGGAATTCGTGCCAACACAATAATTATAAAGAGATGTCGGCGAAAAAAAAGATTTATATTTGAAATTTTTCCTTTACATTTTACTTGCATATGACCTACCTGTGTTTACCTGACTTGACATTTTGTATTAAAGACCGACTATTTGTATATTAGTATATTGTAGATCTATTCGCACAAAAACAATATGAAATAATAGTCGTTGAAAATATGTAAAAAAAAAGAATGAAAAAGTATAGCATAGAATAGCACAGAACGTTTTATGAAAATCAATTGAAAATTGTAGTTGAGTTGATTCAAGAGCGTTCACAAGGAAATGTGAACGACAGACTTGTGGGTCGACCATATCTGATGTTTTCTTTAAAAGGACATTTCATTTTTTCATTGTAAAACCAATAGGTTTTGATGTGATTTCAGCCTTTGTCAATGTGGCAATAAAATCAACTTGTTTTAAGACATTTTTGTGATGGTATATGAATATGAACCAGTTAAACGAGTTATTATTATTCTCCTTTCATGGAAGATCACAAGCACGATCCACATACCTGTAGGGCAAAGTTTCTCTATTGTTATCTTTATGGTTCTGAACAAGGCATCTTCAACACTACACGTACTTTTGTATGTATCAATACACATCAGACTATACTTTAATGTTCTGAAACATTCATTTTTATTAAAACATAAAGTCTCTATTTATCCGAAAATAGAATACAATCGATCTATCAGTCAATAGAATAGTGATCCAATATTCCATAAAACTGATGCAAAGAAACAAAATATATTTGATTGGTCGTTTCACAGGATTTAGCTTAACTACGACAAATTTTGCTTCGTAGTGACAAGACCACAGATGACGTTAACTTTAGACGATTAAAATTTCTGATGCGTCAAATTTCAAAGATTCTGGTATTATTTATACTTACGCACACCAAAATTGTGGTTCAGCAAGTAATGTTGACAACTGTGGATAATTTATCTTATTCATGCATTGATCCATGGCATCACATGAAGAAGATTCTTTATATTCTGAAAAGAAATTATGTGGTGTTACGTATTTCAAAAAAATATTCTTAATAAAATCCGAATAGCATGCCGCACACTCTTTTTGTGAGGATGGAAAGCTAATGCTATGTTCCTTTTATGTTCAATACTGTTACATAACGTAATGCTAAAGGAACATGGGTTTCCACTAGCATGATTCGCATTACGATTGAAATAGTATCAATCGTGGTGATCCGATCAGACCTTATCAGATCCTATCAATTCAGGGAGCTCGATGCTCGGTTATCGTCTCATATCGACACCCAATCGTGCACACAATCGGAATAATCCTATCAGAAAGTATGTGAGCGAAATATCACATGTGACACAATTGTCATATCGCAAACAGATCAAATAGGGGAGAAACAAATCGTGTCAGAACATATCGATGTTATCTGCTATCTAGTCTGGGAGTGCTCAATCGTTGATGTTTGTGATTAGATCTTGTGCGATTAGACAATTAATGCACAAAAAAGTGAAATGAACCCTGAGAACGTTTAAGACTATACCTCAGAAGATCAGCACAAAAAAATTACAAGGGGGCATTCTTGAAATAATGCCCTCAAAATGCTCCTGGTCCTTTAAGAACGAATCATAACAAAACCTATAAACAAAAATGACAATGAATTGGTGTGCAAGAATATTGTAGACTCGACTTACTTCCACAGAATAACCTTAACTGTATAGACATCATGTCTAATTTGTAATCAACCTTTTTATAGTAGGGTAAATCAACACAAATCGGAGAATTTTGTATCACATTATGAATACACATCATTTCGTCAGCAATCGATCTGTAATATATAAAAATACATAGGTGTATTGTGTGCCTTTGGGGGAGCATTAGGAACATGGTAGAAGGTCAAATTTCGTAGTATACCACGCCTTGATTGTGCACAATTAAGCAATTTACATAGTCACCAGTTTCAATGTTTACACCAGATGATATCAACATATTGTTGAACCCTTGTGTCCAATAAAACCCAGGAGATGAATTCCATAAAATTTCCACCAAGATGTAACTTTGTATTTTGATTTTCTATTGAAAAAGTATAACATAATGAATTTCCATGCACATTATCATTATTTTTTTTAAAACATTAACAAATGGTTGCTATCTCATAATAATGTTTTGATCAAAATACCGATAGCATATTTATTGAATTATTTGCCTTCAAAACAACATGTTCAATCTAACTTTACAAATTACATATCAGAATATCACGTAATAAACAGGCAGTATATGCATTGCATTAGAAAATACCCACACGCATCTGTCACTTGTCAATGAATTCCCAGCACTTGTTATCAGACCAGTAATTGTTTTCAAACAGTCATCTAAAGCTTCACAACCTTAAAAAATAACACAAAAAGATTAAAATCCGAAAAATCTCAAATTTATATGGCGAAGAGATCAAATGGGTGGTGAAAAGGACCTGATGTAAGATACTACACGTATTTGATATGTAACTAATACGGCATATTATGTTGAGGGGTCTCTTACCTCAAACATTCCTATAATCCCATTATAACTTGAATGACATTATCTGAACAAGTTTATCGGGAACCACGGTGGCTCAGTGAGTTAGACGCTTGCTCGCTAACCTGAAGGTCAAGGGTTAATACCAGCAGTGGTCGAGATAATAACTTCGGATATTTCAACCCGATTTCCCAATGTCAGTGATTCAAGTACCAGAGCCTAGTCGTTCGGATGGGTCAATAAATCGAGGCCCCGTGTGCTACAGGCTGTGCACGTTAAAAAATCCCTCGACAGTTGGAAATTAATAAAGAGCAGGCTAAGGCCGCTGTTCTGGCAAAATTTCCCTCATTGCACCCTAAAGAAAAGGAGGACGTAAAGCTCCATTTATTTATTTTTTCTGGAACTACAGGTATCACATACATTAAAATGTAAAAACTTATGTTGCAAGTATTAGTTAGAGAGCCCCTGATATACATACATAAATGAGAAAACTAGTTTTGAATTCCTTTATCTTATCAATAACGATTCCACAAAATGCCGTTAAAAATGTAATATTTTCACTTAATGTACATTTATATAAAAAATATAAAACGGTTTTATGTGTTTTGGAGACACTGAAAACTAATAACACAAGCAATATTTTTCAATCAGACATCTGTGGTTCTTTTTATAGTGTATTTGCTAACCTTTCCCTCTCCTGATAGAATATGTCACCTTATCCGTGGCAAAAAGGAGTGTTTACAGCAATAAGGAGTGTTTACAGCAATATCAGCCATTCATACATTTTATACATTCACATGAATATCAATGGATTTTGATGAAACTTGGTATAAGCATTGATAAGATCTCGGTTAAGTTTCAAAATGGCGATTTTTCGTTGAACGGATTTTGAGTTATTGCCCTTGACGTATTAAATCGCGTCAAAATATGTGTGTGGGTACTAGAGAAACTACAATTTTCAATGGATTTTGATGAAATTTGGTGTAAGCATTTATATTGATAAGATCTCGGTCAAGTTCCAATTTGACGATTTTTCGTTGAACGGATTTTGAGTTATTGCCCTTGAGAAAGTTCTTGAGAAACTAATTTTCAATGGATTTTGATGAAACTTGGTATGTGCATTGGAATTCATAAGATCTCGGTCAAGGTCGAATTTGTTGATGAACAGATCTGAGTTATTGCGGACTGCAGTTTTCATCTGATAAAAATGAATTTTGATGAGATCTAGGACATTTCGAATTTAAGGATATTTTGATAAACAGTTGAACGGATGAGTTGTTGCCCTCAACTAAGTCAAAACGTATTAAATTTGGTGTGATCTAATTTATACATTTGATATATTTGAAAAGTTTGCATTTGACAAACATTTTTTGAGTTATTGCCCTTCACTTAAAACATGTCAAATTTGTTCATGTGCTCGATAGAGTCTATTTTTCATTCTATTTGAAACTTTGTGTGATCATTGGAATTCACGAGGTCTTGAGTAAGGAGTTGATTACTTTTCTGAATATTGAATATAGACTTGACAGATTAATCATTATGGTGGACGGATGTTTACCTTGCCTTGCAAGCTATCTTTAAATCATATTTAAACAATCAACAACATCACTACTTCAAATAATACTAGTTATTAAAAATAAAAAAAGCAGCACCATCAGGTACAAGCGACGATTGTTTTTCTGCTTTTATCTCAATAATAACACGTGTCCTTAGAAAATAATTGTACTGCCCACATTTCCCAATATAATATTTACGTAAACATTGTCCATTTTATAGACAAACCCTCTCCTAAGAGTCCACACTAAAAACAAAAAAAAAAAACATAACATGTTTCGCTGATGCTTTGCGAAAGACACATTGATATTGTTTGAAACTTTATGACTAGTCTTACAAAAGCTGCACATGACGTAATACGATTAAAATGGAAAGAATAAAGATCTTCTGTGATGTATGTATAATGTATATTCATGTTGATGAGCTATAATCGAAAATCTTTTTAATATTTTCCTACTCAATGCTTTCCACTTTAGCCTCTTATGCTACTATTCCACACAAAGCACGAATCACCAATATTGGTATATTGTAGGATTCGTGAGGATTCGTGGAATTTTAGCACATATTATGGTTCAGTTCGCGAGATTCTATTAGTTATACGAATATTCGAGGGATGCGGCTCGATTCGCATGAATATTGTCAAGAATTCACTATTATATTCAATGATTGACGTGCTCTCTCAAGATAGCTGTAGAAATGCCCCACCCATCAGCTTCAAAATGGAGCCTCTGTATTATAGGCTCTGGAATGGGTTAAGAATAACTATGAATGATTAAGATTAAAGATTAAGTTACGATGACTAAAAATGCGCATTTGTTACGAATTAAGTATGACATTTTTTAATTGAGAGTTCGTGGCCAAAACTTTGAACAGCTCAAAACTTTTGCCCCGAATTCCCGATAGCCAAAGAATTGTAAGAAGCAACTACGAATTTAAGCGAAGTCATTACGATTCAATTAAGAATCCAAAAATTTATCAATTCGTGACCTCCATGGAACAGTAGCATAAGGCAGAGTTCAACATCCATTCGGTCAATCGTACCTTGGTTTCAGAAACGGGAAAAGGTTGATGCTGTTTACAATTCAAAGCCAAATTTGCCCTAAAAAATGACGTTTGTTGCACTTAAAATCCTGAAGTTAAAACATTTAGACATCTAGACAGTACTGATTTAATTGTCCCATCTTTACAGCTTCGGAAAATGCCATGTACATAGACTCTCGGCCTTCGTCTTAACAAAAATTAAAAATGCCTTCCTTCCAGACACTAACATCGAATCCTATGCAAATTTGAAAATGTTCAACCTTTTTAATGTATGCTGTATGCTTGATGCGTACTTTAATCATTTAGAACCTATTAGTTGCATGCAGGCCAACTTTTGAAAAGCAACTGGTATATTCAGTAAATTCTGCAAAACTCACACAGCTCATAGAAAACATTTTGAAAAAAATTTTGATTTAAAATTTTTACGAAACTCATAAGTATATTGGGTACTTATGCAATCTCTCTGTTACCCATATGTAAGGCGACATCCCATATCTTCATAGTATTTATGTAGTCCTGAAATGTCATTATTTCATATATTTAGTCCATGAAATTATAACGCGTCACAACATCACACGCATGGAAAAGTTTGATATATTTGATTGTTAAGACCTTTAAGGGCAATCACAACATGTCAAATATCATCATGACATGCACAGTCTTATTCTGTCCTGTAATTCATCCATATACTTTAACGAGAAAACAAAACAAAAACATAAATTGAACCAAAATATCAATATGTGGCTAAAAAAAAAACAAATTGATTCCTATGCGAATCGAACAATAGCCTTTTACGAAAGTTTACAGCCATTGTCTTTTTTAATCATCGCGAAAATATAAAATGTTTATTTGGAATGGGTTCGCCTAGCTTACTAAAAATCAATGGCAGTAGCTAGTTTCTGTATTCAAACATATTGACTATTTATTTTCTGTTAGAGGAAATACCACATAAAAATACATCTGCAAGGTAATTTAATTCTAATCAGCGGGAATGATCACGCCTACTAATCAATACCAGAATCTAGTCCGTGTATTCAAACACGTTTGCTGTCAATTTATTTTGCGTTTTAGACAAAAAAATAATTACGTCTAATGCCAGAAAAAGATACGAGCTGTCAAAACAGACAATTTATTTGTGCACTATATTCATTTTGTCATTAGTAATCTCATGTTTAAATTTTCTTTGGTTACGAATATACAAAATATTGGTTATGCGCAACGCAGGCTCTCCGCTAAATGTATGTCTGAAATTTCAGTTATTTATTAACTTTCCGGGCTTTTCAGCATAGATATTACGACTATGCCTATTCTTCCATTTCAGTAAGGGATAACCTGCTATTCTAGTGAAAAAAAAAACTTCGGAAAAAAGGACATGCCCATAAAACATGAGATGTCTAAACTTGGAAGAGAATTTCAGGCCAAGAAACGATTCTACACCCAATTAAAACACAACCAGAACTCGGATTGAGAAATATTGGTGCGGTATTACTCGGAGTGTTGCCTTTAGACCTGTTAATTATATGACTTTTGTTGATTCAATCATCTTATCTTGCAAACACTTTCTCCGAAGTTCTGGAAACTACATGCATTCGTGGAAAAAACTACATGTATTCGTGGAAAAAACTACATGTATTCGTGGAAAAAACTACATGTATTCGTGGTCCTTTATGCATGCGTCACTAATCTTGTAAATGTTACAATTAGCAGGGGACCTTTTAATATATTGCCAAACTCACAAACCTGTTTCCATATTCTTAATTTGCATGTTTCCTGTAGCACCGCCATCCCTTCTATATCGGACTTGAATCCCAGTTTCCGAGAAACTGTTTCCAAACAAAGCTGAAATATAGAGTGTGTGGAAGTGAACAAAAATGAAATATTGTTTACCCAAAAATCAATCCTGGAAATTCGAAAAGGTTAGTTGATCAAACAATTACAAATAGTACTAGGAAGAGGGCTGTTATTCAAACGTAAATATAACTAATTAAAGGGACCTACACACCACATCACAAGGTTGCGAATAAAAAATAGTGAACGCATACTAATAGGTTTTAAAGGTTTGAAGTACTGCAAGTACGCGGGTGATACTAGACATAAGCAGAGTAAAGGCGACCTCAAACCATTGCGATCGACAGTGGCGTTCAGAACTATTGTTTCGCTATTTTCATTCCCAACCATACTCATCTGGTGATGGCACATTTATTCTGTTTAGTGTATGCGATCACCTGCGTACTTGTAAAATATAAAACATATTTGTGCCGTTTCGGAACGCGTTTGACCAATATCTTCTATTCACAACTATGTGCAGGTGAGCCACTTTAGAGGTTGATTCGAGTCTTGAATTTAATATGTAAATAGTCTTCAGAAGTACTAGAAATGTACAAAAATCACATAATTCCTTCAAATATCTCGAACTAGGAATTACTTTTCCTATTTCTATAGATGTCTTTTCAAGACCGGATAATTCTGAACACAAATGGATTTGAAATTTCGACGGTGAGCTGTGAACACTTTTACTGATTGGCTTAGCTAAAAAAATGTCCGTATCTAAGACTTATGGCGCAACTGTCCCTTTAAACGTAAACACAACTTACGTAAGCAACTTTATTAATGCTGAACATGGTATACATCTAAAACTTGACTAATTTGTGGTGAAATGGATGAATCGTACTTATATAATATAGTCAATATTTCAATTTTAGTAATTAATATTCCTTTTTATATTTCAATGACATTTACGGTCACCGTTAACGATTCTTACTCTCCAACCCTTCAATCCTTTTAAACACTCAATCTATTCATAGTTATTCAACCGTAGTATTCTTTGTCAGATACTTTAGTTAGAATTTATAACAAAAGAATAAATTCTAAATATAAGATTCCATAAAACAGTTTGCCAATCAATGTAAAATTATGCAAGATGATATCTTTGTTTAAATGAAAACAATTGATAGAACAATAACCGTCAATAGCAGATATTTCCTTACATTTATTCTGAAACTGTGGCCTCGAGTATACAAGGCGACAACAGAACGTATTTAAGCAACATAGGAAATAATTCTCATTGACAATTTTAAGTTTCAATTATTTTTCGACAGCGCTCATTCAGCCACCCGATTCGCCTATTATTAGTTGATTCTTTCAAGAAGTTGTTAGTGGCTATTACTGCTTATAACATAACAAAGGCGCCTTTCCGCCTCCAGAGGTAAATGTTAGTTGATACGAACAGCTAACAAAGGCTATCACGTTAATAATAACCCACTGCTCGCAGCAGCTAACAAAGGCTAAAATTAATACTAGAAAAATATATTCATAATTTCATGGTTATACCTAGACCCGGCATTCCTTTTGGCTCGGCGGAGTTACCAAGACACGGCTATTGTTACTAGACCTCAGGTAGTGCCTAGGTATTTTTACTAGACCTCTGGTAGTACCTGGGTATTGTTACTAGACCTCTGGTAGTACCTGGGTATTGATACTAGACCTCTGGTAGTACCTGGGTATTGTTACGAGACCTCTGGTAGTACCTGGGTATTGTTACTAGACCTCTGGTAGTGCCTTTACTAGACCTCAGGTAGTGCCTAGGTATTTTTACTAGACCTCTGGTAGTACCTAGGTATTGTTACTAGACCTCTGGTAGTACCTGGGTATTGATACTAGACCTCTGGAAGTACCTGGGTATTGTAACGAGACCTCTGGTAGTACCTGGGTATTGTTACTAGACCTCTGGTAGTGCCTGGGTATTGCTCCTAGACCTCTGATAGTACCTGGGTATTGTTACTAGACCTCTGGTAGTGCCTGGGTATTGCTACTAGACCTCTGGTAGTACCTGGGTATTGTTACTAGACCTCTGGTAGTACTTGGGTATTGTTACTAGGCCTCTGGTAGTACCTGCTTATTGTTATTAGACCTCTGGTAGAACCTGGGTATTGTTACTAGACCTCTGGTAGTACCTATGTATTGTTACTAGACCTCTGGTAGTACCTGGGTATTGTTACTTACTAGACCTCTGGTAGTACCTGGGTATTGTTACTAGACCTCTAGTAGTACCTGGGTATTGTTACTAGACCTCTGGTAGTACCTGGGTATTGATACTAGACCTCTGGTAGTACCTGGGTATTGTTACTAGATCTCTGGTAGTACCTGCGTATTGTTACTAGACCTCTGGTAGTACCTGGGTATTGTTACTAGACCTCTGGTAGTACCTGGGTATTGTTACTAGACCTCTGGTAGTACCTGGGTATTGTTACTAGACCTCTGGTAGTACCTGGGTATTGTTACTAGACCTCAGGTAGTACCTGGGTATTCTTACTAGGCCACTGATAGTACCAGGGTATTGTTACTAGGCCACTGATAGTACCAGGGTATTGTTACTTGGCTACTACTGCCAGCCTATTGTTACTAGGCCAGTTGTAGTACTAGGTATCATAGCTAGGCCACCAATTATGCCAGGGTATTGTAACTGGGCCTCCTGTAGACTCAGGGTATTATTACTGGTCCACTGGTATCACCGCATGGGCCACCGAGTATTGTTACTGGGCTATTTATAGTACCAGGCTGTTGTTACTGGGCCATAAGTAGTGACAGGAAACTGTTACAAGAGACGACTGGTAGTACCTGTATAATGGTACTGCCGGGCAACCGTATCAGGTTAGGTTGTTGGGACTGGGTTACGTGTACTACCGAGTTAGGTTATTGTTTACCAACTAGTACCAGTCTGCTGTTACTACGCCACTGATAGTAGGCTACCAGGGTGCTGTTACTAGACCTGTGGCAAAACCAGGCTATTGTTACAGGGCCACTAGTATAACCAGGCTACTGTTACTTGACCTGTGGCAAAACCAGGCTATTGTTACAGGGCCAGTAGTATAACCAGGCTGATACCGGATCTCTGATAGTTTCAGTTTGGGGTTTTGTTACTAGGCCATTGGCCATACCGGGGTCTTGTTTCTATCCACGGGCCATACTGGGGTCTTGTTTCTAGGCAACTGGCCATACCAGGGTCTTGTTTCTAGGCCACTGGCCATACAAGGGTCTTGTTTCTAGGCCACTGGTCCTACCAGGGTCTTGTTTCTAGGACACTGGCCAAACCAGGGTCTTGTTTCTAGGACACAGGCCATATCAGGGTCTTGTTTCTAGGACACTGGCCAAACCAAGGTCTTGTTTATATAGGCCACTGGCCATACCAGTTTATTGTTTCTGGGCCAATGGTTATACCAGGCTAATGTTACCGGCCACTAGTTATATACCAATTAGGCCTAATTGTGACTGACCCAGTGGTTTTACAAAACTTTTTTGGGGGGGGGGGGAGAATGCTGCCGAGAGAATGAGAGAATACCGAGCTAGGATGAATGGAGAGAAACGGGAGGAAATGCAAAAGAAGAACAGCGAGCAGCAGAAGAACTCCAGAGTAAAGTGGGATAAAAATAGAATTAACAAAGAAAAGATTGAAAGTAGATTAAGAATGAGAAAATCAAGACTCCTAAGAAAAGAAAGAGTAGAAGGAATTGCACAATCACCAGAAAAAGCATTTGGGTCTGCTCAATCATTCGGAAAAGCAGTTAGGAGAGTTGGCAAAGCTCTACCAAACAGCCCAAGAAAACAACTGGCAGTGGTAAAGAAATTAGCCGTGAAGTTTAATCTACCTACAAAACTTTCTACATCTACACAACAGAAGGTTTTATCTTCAGATGATAAAACAATTGTTAATTATTACAAGAGTGACAGTATTTCCAGGCAAATGCCAGGCATGAAAGATTATGTGACAGTTAGGCATAATGGGGAGAAGGAACGAGTTCAGAAAAAGCCTCTAATGGAGGCTTTTCGTCTATTCAAACAGGAGAATCCTTCGATCAAAGTACAAAAATCTAAATTTGCCAATCTTAGACCAAAGGAAGTGCTTCCAATTTCAGAGAAGGATCACACAGTTTGTTGTTGTATTTACCATGAGAATTTTGATATGTTGATAGCAGGTATAAGTAAACATGTACCAAATTTACCCAGCAGCGAAGGTGTTCTTGAAAAAGCAGCATGTAGATTCGAGAAAGATTGTTATTTTGGAGATTGTACAAGTTGCTGTAATATGGATGATGTTGTTGAAGACCTTTTAGAGAATTGTATTATACCTGAAGAAATATCTGATGAGTGCTGGGTTGATGACAAGAAGATACAAATTTCAAAATCAAAAGAAAATGCTAAAGTAGAGTTGGTTAACCAGATTGTAATTATGAAGAAGCATGTGTATATTGCAAAGATTCAGCTAAGAGCAATAAAAGAATTGAAGACCAAACTAGATGTTACTGAAGGGATATTACAGGAGGACTTTGCTGAGAATTTCAATATTAAATACCAGAATGAAATTATGACCGCACATTGGAGTTCTAATGGTGTAACATTATTTACTGCGGTTTTCAACAGCAAAGATGGATATTCCTCTCATGTTATGGTAAGCAATGACCTTCACCATGATAAGTACTCTGTCGCTACTTTTAATAGAATCATTGCTAATGAGATGCTAGAGAAGCATCCAGAAATTGAGAAGATACATATATTTTCAGATGGAGCTGGAAGCCAGTTCAAAAACAAATATACCTTGGTCAACATGTTAAGAGCTGATGCAATTCATGAAAATATCAAGTCTATTGACTGGAGTTTCTTTGGTACTGCTCATGGTAAAGGCCCAGTTGATGGTGTAGGTGGTACTGTAAAACGTGCTGTTTGGAGAAGAATTCTGCAAAACCGGGTATTAGTGAACTCTGCTGAAGATTTTGCCAATGTTGCCAAAGAATGCTGTCCACATATAAATGTTACATTTGTTGACAAAGATCACATTGCTGCTATGAAGAAGGAGATGGGTGATTTCTGGATAGAAAACTCACCACAACCAATCCCAAACATACGCAAATGTCATTATTTCAAACGTATATCAAGCTCACAAATGGTGGTTGGTGATGTTAGTCCATTCACAGATGGTACTGTAGTCAATCAGTCACTAGTCACTATTTATGGATCAAATGTAAATCCTGTTGATGTACCAAAACCAAATTCAATCGTGATGAATGTTGCCAGAGTCTCACTTAATATTCAACTTGAGACCTATTATGCTGTTGACTATGTGGACAGATTTTACATAGGTCGGGTTTTAAGTCCGGGAACAAAACAAGGATTCTGGAAAATGAAATTTTTCCACAAATATCTGGAAGATGGTGTTCCACATTTTATTTGGCCGAAGACAGATGACATAGAAGAAGTTCACACCTCGATCATATTCTGGGGTCCTGTAACACTAAATGGTTGTATTGACTTTACATTGCCAAAACATGAATTAAAGAGAATAAATGAATGTTTTGTTGGATTACCAAAATGATTTTTAAAATTATTATGTAAACACTGGCTTTAATTAGGTTCCTCGGCTAATTGTGTTATATAATGCAGTAATTACTTATAGTCCTTTAATTATATGTACCTGGTATATGAATTTTATTTTATTGTTTATTTTCATTCTGTTAATGATTCAATAACAAAATTGTTAAAGAATACATAGTTTCATTGCAAGAAAAATTATAATCAGACAATAGAATCAGACATGTTGCGTCAGTTACAACATTTTTTGGCTGTAGATAAGAGATGACAGTTTACAGACACCCAAAAAGTATTGTTCAATTGTGGTAAACTTCTCAAAAGTGTAATAGAACAATCAAGATATGATCCAATAATTATAATCACAGAACTTTTTACAATATCAACGACATTCAGACATCGGGTATTTTTCAGGTTGCGTCAGTTAGGCAAACTTTCAACTCATACAAACACATCGGAATTGATCCGAATGATTTTTTGTGTTGATTTGACGGACAGATGACCTTTTTAGAGCATGTTGAAAGTCAAATTAGTGATATATCTCATGATAGTTGCTGCAACTGGCAACATTTTCTTTTGGAATTGGCTGCAAATGTTGCGTCAGTTACAATGGAATTACCCTGTAATATGTAAAATGGAGTGCAATGAATTATCATTGATAAAAATCTATCTATCTGTACTCATGTAGTTTTAGTATTTGGGTTCAGAAACTGCTTATTATCATAATGAAACAGTCTATTTTATTCACTTAATAGTAATTGGGTGAAGAAATATCTACTAAAATACTACAGAGTGGTCAATATGATTGGAGGTCATATCTAAGGCTGAGATGCCTTGCCAAGAGTACCTTTTAATTCTGCCCCTTCAATTTCAAGAAATTGAGCAAATAAAAGCCAATTTGTAGAGAATGTATCTCTTACCTATTCTGAAATGACAGTCGCGACATTTTGGTGGTTGATTTGATTTGAGTTCTGTACTGGATGTGTACGAAGATCGCATAATTCCTTCAAAAATATCCCAAACTAGGAATTTCTTTTCCTATTTCTATAGATGTCTTTTCTATATTATGGCAGTGTCTCAAGGAAAGACGACTCGTCTTTTTAACGTCCAAACACGAATAATTCTGGACACACATGGATTTTAAAGCGACGGTGAGTTGTGAACACTATTACTGATTGGCTTAGCTGAAAAATTCCCATTTCTGAGACTAAACGAAAAAGAACAAAAATGTATAACAATCTTTGTGCGAATTAAATATACAAAATAAATCAATCGATGCCCATTTTCTTTATGGGCCTACATGGCATTCCATAGATGCTGTAGTTTAGAAAGGGGTTTTCACCATCGTGCGTACAATACCGGGTCTGTGGAAACAAAACCAAATTAGTAAAATGTGCACTCTTTGTATGTATTTCACATTCCTGGAAAAACTATGCTCAAGTGTGGTAGGAGACACAGGGTTACAATGCATGGAAATATGCTTCTTTTGAATATATAGGACATTCTGGGGGGGAGACTTTGTTCAAATGTGATAGAAAACACAAGGTTTGATCTCTATCTTGCGTACAATGCATGGAAAAATAACCAAATTGGTTGATTGTGCTTCTTTGAATGTATCGGACATTCTGGGGAAACTATGCTCATATGTGGTAAATTACACACGGTTTGATCTCTATCGTGCGTACAATGCATGGAAACATAACCAAATTGGTTGATTGTGCTTCTTTTGAATTTCTGGGGGAAAATATGCTCATATATGATAGATTACACACGGTTTGATCTCTATCTTGCGTACAATGCATGGAAATACGTTAAATCGAAAGAATGTGTCTCTCATGTTTTAATTGTGTCCTAGCATATTAAGTGAGTTCTCTTCATCCTTGTACATCCACTGGAGATAATAATGCTTTCAGCGCTTTATGCTAATCAATAGTGAATACGAATAGTCATTTTTCTCACATTTCTGATTGACTTGAAATGGCTTCAGATAATGCGACCAGGTGATAATAAAAGTGCTTCAGAATCTAAATTGTCAAATATATCTAGAGGGTAATATCAACAAAACTTCAACTATATATGCTGTCTGTTTTGTTCATTAGTACATTCTGGGGGCTTCATACCAAGTTGGTCTATTGATTTGATATCATTGTAATTGGGTTATCCACATCTAAAGAACGATAAATGCCTTTGCAGATTGTGTTCTACTTACTTTCTTTAGCCTTCATTATGATGAAACCTGCTGTAGGATATCATTCTCTACAATACCTTTAAAAGTAACATTCTACAATCCAGATTTTGTCCATATCCTTGACCAATAAACCTGTCAACATTACTTTAAGGTAGTGTTAGATGATGATGAGAACATGGGCTAGGTAGTATGAAGATTTATGAATATTGACAGGCAATTATTATTATAATTATAATTATCTAATAAAAACAGATTTCTCTTCTTAATATTTAATATCATCTTCAGTTGTGAATAAGTATGAATTTTACTATTTGACAAATAGCACTTTAAAATTAAATTTTGTTTTTTGTTCAGTTTATCAAATAATAAATCTAATGAGAATTCCATTTATAACAAACATGACAATGATGAATTAATAAACCAAATAAACAATAAAAATTTGGAAACTCTTGCTTAGAAAGAAACGGTAGGATTTTCTTTATAACATAAAGTTTTAACTCTGCTTTTATGATCTATTTCAAAATATAAAATTTGATAATTGACAAATGCTAACTCTATGTTACTCTATACATCAATATCATCATTAACAATAATCTATTCAACAACTAATCAATCTTCACATTTGGTCAGGGTATATGTCTTTATCTTTTACCTTGACTGCAATAGACCACTTTCTCTTTCTTATATCACGGTCAGCAATTTGATTAGATTGTATGCCAATTAGAGAGCCCTCTATTTCATAATAATTATTATTGACAGTTTCTTTTGTCGAGGGCCCAGATTGGCTGTATTAGCGAGCGTACAGTCCAATCAAATTGCTGCATTCACAAACTTCAGTGAAATAAAAAAAAGTGGGCCATTGCAGTCAAGGTATAAGATGAAGACAAAATACCTTGATCATTGTGATAATGCAAATAATCTGGATTGCTGTCAACGGGTAAGGTATTGTGCATAATTGTCAGTACTTCATATCTTCATATATCCTTAAATTCTATCACTCTTGTTCAGTGATGGCTGACTGTGGTACATCTTCAAAGAACAACAGTATTGCTCTCACATTTCCAGACTAGGTGTAATTCATCTGAAAAAAAAAGTTGATATATGAGATATACTTAGTCATATTATGATAATTTGATAACAAATTGGTTGTTTACTTTAACAGTGGTGTAACCTATTTTCGTGGCTATAAGGATTCATCACCGAATTTCGTCAAAATTAAAAAAACGAAATTTTTTTTTACGTCTTAGATATTTCCTCAGATATTCTACAAAATAATTAAAATTGGTTTGTTTCGATTTTCTTTATTAATCCTCCACTTTGACCCATATTTCATGAGCAACCAACTCGGTAACGGCGGCAGAATGCGTCACCTATTTTCGTGTACAATGTTTGATCTACAAATAAGTCTAGAAAAACACGTTGTATAGATACCGGGTGGTATAATTAACTTCTCTTAGTATTTATCTTTAATATCAATTCATTTTAACTAGTGACAATTCCTTGAAAGAACCACGATTTTAAAAAAAAATAGTGACTGACAAAATAAGATACGTAGCGTGATTTATTGCTAAAAGTCACTGAAATAACATAAGAATATGGTCCACTTTATGTTCCATTTACCGCTTGGGATTATAAGGAAATTCGGCCGATAAAAAATGGTGACGTTTGGTAATAACTGAAATCCGCCATTTTGTATTTGTCAAAGTATAGATTAATACATTTTACCTTGCTTGAAACTACTGGATTCATTCTACTAGCCGATATTGTAGAGAAAACCCATGTTTATCAAAACAAAGTAATGCGAAGGTCGCTCATGTAAATTATTAATCCTTTCCGGAAATCCACGAAATTAGGTTACTTGACTGTGTACTAATAACAATTAATAATGGAACTTACCAAAGTACTGTCCGTTTCGGTAACTTGAATGTCGATCTTGAAATCATTATTAATTGACAAACAAGCTGATGATAATAATGTTGGTATCTTCATAATATCTCCGCAACACTAATAGTCTTGAATGTTTAGACTCTAATTAAAATTTCAGATACAAGTCGGCTTATTGTTACATGCATATACAGCTAATTCAGCTATATAGCTAGTAGAAATAATGCAGCCTAATAAAGATAAGATAACAACTTTATTGAACATGATACACTATGTCCTCCTCATAAGGTCCATATCTTCTTTTTTATAATGGGCGCATTTCTTATGAAAAATTACAAAAAGACTAAAATGTTTTGTATTTCCAGGCCTAAAATTATAAAATTCTTATTTAGACAAAAGCTGAAAAGGATGTTTTCTTAAAACTAAACAAATGGCCTTTGTTGGATGCTTACGCTTCACTTTAAAGTGATCGATACGGTACTAAATTTTTTATTTGGCCCACTATACAGTTTTAGGAATGTTATCGAGACTTATGTAATCGAGACTTAACTGGCGGGAACATTGGGTTATATTTATTCAAGTCGAATCACCATAAAATATATTATTCCACTTCCATTTATGTAAATAGTGCCTATGGAAAACAATATGTAAAACCCCAAAGAACATTTTGACGCAAACTTTCTTTTAGTTTTACCATCATATATTGATAAGGTCACAAAAATTGTCAATAAAAGTAGAAACTATAAATTTTTCTTCATTTCCATTCGCTTAATGGTCAATTCGCCCCAAAACCAAAATGCCAACAGAATAATTAGGCCTATTGTTGAATTAAAGGGCCCGTTGTTGAACCTTTTTGTCAGTGGTAAAATAACGATAACTACTTTTTGCAATTGCAAGACATCATCGACGGGACAATCTCATGTGACACAGTAACC